TCTGTCTGTTTTCGACATAGAACTTTGCACATATGTGCGGCAGTTCAAGTCGCCACACTCCATGTAGCACACAAAGCAGGAGAAGAAAGTAGAAGAAATGCATAATAGAGACAGTAAACAGACATGTGAGACAAAGGAAGAGTAATAACGAAGAACAAAACAGTTTCATTGGAAATCAGAAGTCCCAGGGAGTGAATGCATCTGCGCCAGCCATTGAGAACGATTTTGAGCCATGTCACCAATTATTTCCAACCATTGGTTTTTACCGTCCCAGGGACCCCAACCAGGAAGTCTACACCTTCCTACATGACTGACTTAAACTAACTGTTGTGGATTTCATTGACTGATGCCATGTTTTGGTTTGACCATCAATAGCTCTTTTCCAACCTGATCCATCCTATGTCAGCCAACATCGCCCGTTGAGGAAGGCGAACCATCTCAATCAGTGTAATTTCACAGCCTCGTTGATTGATTTCCCCTCCTTACCTAGCACTAGAAGGAGGACCAACTTCAATATCGCTCACCTTATTTTACCACTTTATACGAGAGATAGCGCGCAGGCATCTATGATCAAAGACAGCTAATCTTTTCATGTCTTCCAGATGCATTTACCCCTTGTGACTTATAATTTCCAATCAAACTATATTGTTCTTCGTGATTACTATTCCTTTCATCTCACGTCCCTATCTACTGTCGCTACTATGCATTACTTCCACTTTTTTCTCTTGTTTTGTGTGCTACATAGAGTGTGAAGACTTAAACTACTGCACATCACTTCAGAATTCTATGTTGAATACAGACAGACAGAATTACTACTTTTAAGCCTCAGCCTTGCAGTTTCGTTTAACAATTTTTACTAGATACATTTTTTTATTGCCTTACGTTCCCAGTTGAACATCCCCAACCGAAAGCTGCTACCTTGACGTGGTGGTCGGGCTTGAACACCGCAATGACCCAACAAGCTATACTGGCTGAGACTTATGTCTCTTGAGGTCCTACCATGCCGCAGGTTGTTTGGATAGCGGTTAAACAAAAAGCAGCTACCCAATCCAATAATATGATTCAAACAAATTCACAAAATATCATGCCGGATCTGTCGGGGCCAGGATTAACAACGACCGCGATTCCTGCTGCCGTGTCACAGGGCAGGAGTGATAAATATGCTACTGAGACACACCAAACAGAAAGAACAAACTAAAACAGGCCGGGTGTGACCGGCCTCAAGCAGTTGTCCCCTGGGCTCTGCGGTCACGCAAACAACTTCCACGGTGTGGGCAGCTGCGAAGTAACAATCGCCTTCACAATCCGAAATGCACACGAAACCTCTCTAATCTCACTTATCTTTGTCTTCATCTTCATCTCTATTATCTTGCTTTCCTTCACTGATGCAACTCCTCTACTTGATAGCTCTTCACTTCCTCTCCACTCTGCGTCCACTAAAAACGACGGAAGCCAAAAATACCACCAACAATCTCCTAAAGCCACGTCACCAATTTCATATAGGAGCATTTAATGTTAGGACACTTTACCAAATAGGACAACAAGCATCACTCGCCAAGACTCTGGCATCCCGAGCCATTGATGTATGTTGTGTTCCAGAAACACACATACAAGACCCACGTGTGGTTATTCACCTAACCCTACCTGACCAACAGGATGAATCTGCAAAATTCACCTTGAGGGTGTCAGGAAATGCCACAGCTAGTTCACGAGGATTAGCTGGTGTAGGGATAGCTTTGAGTACTAGGGCAGAAAAGACATTACTTGACTGGATCCCGGTAGATAGCCGAATGTGTGCTGTCCGTTTGAACGGATGAGTAAAAAGGAGAAGGACTGCACTACTCGCCGATGCCTTTTCGTAATCTCCGCCTACGCCCCCACTGACTGCAGTTCGGATGAAACGAAGGATGAGTTCTACCAAAAGCTGTCTAGTTTGGTGAGAAAGGCTAAACGCTCAGATATAGTCGTTCTAGCTGGTGACTTTAGTGCTCAAGCAGGGAAATTGTGTCAATCTGAGATGGATGTCGGTGGCACCTATAGAGTTCCGTGCCAGCGAACCGACAACGGTGACCGTCTCCTACAGCTCTGTCCAGATAATCATCTATTTCTTGCAAGCGCTAACTTCTAAAACAAGGAGAGACACTGCTTGACCTGGCGACCGCCATCATCAAACTAACGCTGGACACAAATAGACCACATAGCCATAGGATATCGTTGGCGAGGGTCAGTAGAAGATTGTCGCTCCTTCTAGAACACGTGCGTAGACTCTTATCACGCTCTTGCTAGCGCACGTTTATGCTTACGACTAAATGGACATAAGAAATTGACGGCAGCGAAACAGTTACGTCCTCAACTGGATCGAGACACTGAGTCCTTATTTAAGGAAAAAATAGCGAAACGAGTTTTTGAGGTTGACAGCTCGACTTCACCTGAGGTAGTCTGGCACAACATACAGTTAGCTGTAGACACAGCTGTGAAAGCTGTTAATAAGCTAAAACCTGAAGTTAGTAAAAGCCATTAGATCTCAACCGCCTCATCCGAACTGATAGACGCAAGAAGACTGATTCCAGCAAGCTCCGATATGCTGAGGAGTGAAAGGTACTCAAACGGAAACTTACAAAATGTCTTCGCAACGACCGTGAACAGTGGTGGGCGAAAAAAGCGAGAGATGGAAAAGGCATCGGCGATTGGCAACACCAGACAACTATTTAGGCTTATCAGGGAAACAGGTGGCAAAAGGCAAATGATAAGTGAAACAATCTCGGAGAAAAATGGTACCATAATTAGCTCCCAGGATAGATGACTGGAACGCTAGAAAGAGCACTTTGAGGAGCAGTTTAATTTGCCCACAGCCACGCTCAACCTGACGAACATCAAACACCCCCCTGAATAGCATATAGACACAGGTCCTCCGTCACTAACTGAGGTTACTAAAGCTGTCACCAATCTGAAACTAGGCAAAGCAGCGGGACCTGATGGAATGACTCCAGAGGTATTTAAGTACGGTGGAGACAGCTTACTGTCCGGATTAACTGAGGTACTAGGCAGCGTCTGGGAATCAGAAGAAGTCCCATCGGGTTGGTGTAAGTCACTGATTATCCCCATATACAAGAAGGGAGACAAGTCTTCCTGTGATAATCACAGAGGGATTAGCTTGACTAATATAGTATCTAAAGTCTTAGGCTCAATAATCATGCGTAGACTGAGTGGTGCTCGGGAGGCACAAACACGAGAGAGCCAGGCAGGCTTTAGACCAGGAAGAGGGTGTATTGATCATATCTTCACCCTCCGACAGATTCTAGAACATAGGCATTCCTACCGGCGTCCAACAGTCATTATATTTCTTGACCTAAAGGCAGCATTCGACTCTGTCGATCGAGAAGTTCTCTGGAGATGCTTGGCTGTAAAGGGAATTCCAAGAAAATATATTGCACTGATTAAGGCACTCTACTCGTACTCATACAGCCAGGTGAGGGCTTACGGCGAGCTGTCATCTGAACTGATGACGACCAGTGGTGTCCGTCAAGGATGCCCATTATCTCCTTTTCTATTCAACTTCATCATAGATGTGTTAATGGACTTAACCCTAGGTGACTTCAGCGACTCAGGGATTGACTTGCTACCGGGGAATAATCTCGTTGACTTGGAATATGCAGACGATATAGTCCTTCTAGGCGAAGACGCTGACGAAATGCAGAGTCTTCTAAACACCTTGAGCCGCAATCTACGAATGTTTGGCATGCGATTCGCTCCCGCCAAATGCAAGATGATGTTACAGGACTGGACTACTGCGACTCCTACTTTAAAAATAGGAAGTGAAGTGGTAGAGCACGTTGACCGCTTCACTTATTTGGGAAGTACCATCAGCCAGTGCCAACGGGTTGATCCCTGAAGAAATCTCTGTACGGATACAGAGGGCTAGTTTCGCATATGCCAGTTTACGCCGACTCTGGTGTAGACGAGATATTCGACTATCGACCAGAGGGCGAGTGAACTGCTCATCAGTCCGCTCCGTCCTCATTTATGGCTGCGAGACCTGGCCATTTAGAGTGGAAGACATGAAAGGATTAGCTGCCTTTGATCATAGATGCCTGCGTTCTATTTCGCTTGTGAAGTGGTATCATAAGGTGAGCAATATTGAGGTTAGGCCTCCTTCCAGTGCTAGGTAAGGAGGGGAAATCAATCGACGAGGTTGTGAAGTTACATCGATTGAGATGGTTAGTACATATGTTACGTATGCCAAGCCGTCGCCTCCCTCCACAGACGGGAAATGTTAGCTGACATAGGATGGATCAGGTTGGAAAAGAGCAAGTGATGGTCAAAACAAAACATGGCACCAGTCAATGAAATCCACAACAGTTAGTTTAAGTCAGCCATGTAGGAAGGTGTAGACTTCCAGGCTGGGGTCCTCGGGACGGTAAAAACCAATGGTTGGAAATAATTGGTGACATGGCTCAAAATCGTTCTCAATGGCTGGCGCAGATGCATTCACTCCCTGGGACTTCTGATTTCCAATGAAACTGTTTTGTTCTTCGTTATTACTCTTCCTTTGTCTCACATGTCTGTTTACTGTCTCTATTATGCATTTCTTCTACTTTCTTCTCCTGCTTTGTGTGCTACATGGAGTGTGGCGACTTGAACTGCCGCACATATGTGCAAAGTTCTATGTCGAAAACAGACAGACAGTGGAACATCGGGTTTCAAGCTACAGGCTTGAAGTTTCTGTAACAGTGGTGATTATTTTCACAGGATGGTTTTGCCAACCTCATGCCCAAAACGTCCCTTTTTATCAGTCTTACTACTGGTTTAGCGAGGTAAAGGAGTGAGTCGGTGGCCGGGGATCGAAACCCAACACACCTGCGTGGTCAGTGACTACTCTACCGATGTGCCACCGACACACTTCATACATCCCTCTCTCTCTCTCCCTCTTAATTCCAAGAGTCTGTTTCATCATATAGTAGCACAAATAACAACGCTCGAAACGTCATCAGCAAATAATACTGTGCTACTGTGCGCTTTAAATGCAAACAAATTTATTTTGTAATGAAGTTATACTCTACCAGTGTATCCAATATCTATTTGTACATCAAAACTTTATTTCAAACAAAATTGTCTTTTAAAAATAGCATCTTTTCTAATTCAGTAAGTAAGTAAATAAATAAATAAATACCGTAGCAAAAATCGGGAATAGAAATTAACAGGTAGGAGAACTTAGAAAATGTAAGTCTCTCTCCCTCACACACACACACGCAGTGTATTCAATGTTCTCACCGCGATGAAAGAATTAACTGGACTTTTATTGCACGAATAATAATCATGGTAAAAATGGATTTTATCAAAATGTAACATAAATGGAAAAGCAAACTGATGATTTGTAACAGACTGTGATTGATAAAATATGCCATCTAAAATAATGGCTAAAATCTGATTGGACAAAATAAATATTTTCACAATTAAAACAGATTACACCTTTTATACTCAGTTCACATGAATATTGCACAATACAAATATTGATAAGGGAATTATCAAAGAAAATTATCAAAGTACACAAAGGTATACATTAAAATCAAAAGTATGACTTATTTTTCGATCACTTTTCCCTATTGTTACATTTATGGTGTGTGTGTGGAGGGAGACGGGGTACGTGTGTCTTTGTTATCGCCTTTTAAAACAAATATGAAGATAGGTATAGAGCTACTAAGTTCCAGTTAATTTGTTTAATCAAATAATACTCCCCATAGCCTAATATACAACCGGCTAGAATATCCGTTATATGATGACGACGCATTGCATAACGTGAATAGCATACAATAATACTCCATAGTAGCAATAAACATCCTATCCATAATTTAATCGACGATGATGATAGCCAGAGATAAGAGATTAGAAAGAACAGCATTGTTGAACGACTAGCATGACCTGTAGAATAGACAGGATTAATAAATAACAAAAATATGAATACTATACAATAAATAAAACAGACAATAATTCTAAAATATCTAATAAACTTATCACTCACTGGCTGATAAATAAATTAAAGTAGAACTTTGAATACAAATAGGCTATCTCTTGTGTAGACACAATTTGAAAAGGAGAATAAAAGTAATCATCGCTAGTACACACCCACTGCGGTTTGAACCCAGGACCTTCCTGTTACAAGGCAAGCTAGCTCGTATACCATTCAGCTACTGGGACCCAATTCAATAGCCAGCCCGTGAATTCTAACTTCTACCAATTAGTGATTTTTAGTGCGACCACCAATCAATGTCATTGGTGGAAAATCCACCGTTACACTTGACTGAATGGACCCTACTGTCCATTGAATCGGGTCCCAGTGGCTCAATGGTCTACGAGCTCGCTGGCCTTGTAACCAGAAGGTCCTGGGTTCGAACCCCGGTGGGTGCGTACTGTTGAAGAGTCCTAAACTAGGACGAAACGGCTGTCCTGTACTTACAAGTTTTCCAGTGGTTCTTCGACTGATGTTAGTTCATGATTAAATCCTCCATGCAGTCAAACAAAATCCCTACAAAACCAATACTTGAAAATAGGACCATAAAATATATGTATCTGAAATGACAGTGAATACATAGTCAAGTGTAAATTAGTGGAAAATATCCAGTTTCTCTGACAAAAACTAAAGACACCTACATCTTTGTTAACGATTTACACGCATTTTACTTGTAGTCTGACATTATTCATACACAGCAATGCAAGGAACGCAATCAAGTGACACATACTTCCAGGTACAATGAAATACTGTTTGTTGATGTCTGTGATTTACCCTCCACATTTTGTGATGCAATCGATTAGTTTCGTTTTACATATGAGCTTCTTGAACTAAAATCTTCTCTTGCTTTGTGTGCTACATGGAGTCTGGCGACTCGAACTGCTGCACATCGGTGCAAAGTTCTATGTTGAAACCAGTCAGTCAGTCAGCCTCAGTTTCTAACTTGAAGGTTGATTAGAATATTCACCGCTAGCCAAACACCAAAAACAAGTAACTTAGAGTTAAAAATGAAAGCAATAGTGAAGCATCCATTCAAAGAGCCCATATTACCAGAATTAGACCGGTTATTTGGGCCTACAAATATTAGGGAGACGTAACAAGTTCATACAGACAATACATTGATACAGTGGATGCTAAATAAAGGTGAAATAAAAACCTGGATCCTGGGAGGAATGAAACAAGTCTTTTCAGATCTCTAATAAAGGTTTCGCGTGCGAAATCTCAGCTGAGTACGGATACAGGGGGCTCGTTTCGCTTTTGCCAGTTTACGCCGACTCTGGCGTAGACGAGATGTTCGACTATCGACCAAAGGGCGGGTGTACTGCTCGTCAGTCCGCTCCGTCCTCCTTTATGGTTGTGAGACCTGGCCACTCAGAGTGGAAGACATGAAAAGACTAGCTGTCTTTGATCATAGGTGCCTGCGCTCTATTTCCCGTGTAAAGTGGCATAATAAGGTGAGCAACATTGAGGTTAGGCGTAGAGTTCTAGGTAAACAGGGGAAATCAATCGACGAAATCGTGAAGCTACAAAGACTGAGATGGTTAGGACATGTGTTACGTATGCCAAGTCATCGCCTCCCTCGACGAGCAATGTTAGCGGATATAGAGTCAGGCTGGAAAAAAGCTAGCGGTGGTCAAACAAAAACTGGGCACCAGTCAATGAAATCCACAACAGTTGCTCTAAGCCACGTAGGAAGGTGTAGACTTCCAGGCTGGGGTCTCGGGACGGTAAAAACAAGTGGTTGGAAACAATTGGTGACATGGCTCAAAATCGTTCTCAGTGGTGCAGATGCATCCACTCATTGTGACTTATGATCTCCAATGAAACTGTTTTGTTCTTCGTTATTACTCTCTTTGTCTCACACCTCTGTTTACTGTCTCTATTATGCTTTTCTTGTACTTTCTTCTCTTGCTTCGCGTGCTACACGGAGTGTGGCGACTTGAACTGTCGCACATTTGTGCAAAGTTCTATGTCGAAAACAGACAGACAGACAGATCTCTAATAACCTGCCTTAATAGTCTAACTCTGTGACATCACTGGACACAAAAGCGTCTCAAAAAGTCTATGATAAAGTCTCAAAAATCACTTTACATAGTTGCGAAACATAACAGAATAAGTGCCTACATTACACTACTATTTGCACACAAACTTGGTAGAGGACAGACACTAAAAAATAGGCCACAAAACAAAATGCAGTTTAAACATGTGGTAGAGATATATTCACTAACCCTACCAGCAACACACGTATTCGTATGAGGAACAATCATGTAAACCCACCTACCTAGGCGAAAATGGCCACAGTGGAGCTTGCAAATGAATTGCTTGAGAACTGTTCATTAAAAGTCAATGAATCCTATCTGCACACTTGGTATTAATGAACAATTATCAAACTTGCCCAAACTCACAACTGTTGTTAAAACTCAGTTATTTCAGTCCAGCCTGTGATTCGGACATTTTTATAGTCCGATGACACTATTCAGTTGTCCAGGTTGAAGTGGATCAGGAAGGAGTCAAACTCTGGACCGATTGGCTAAAAGTTGATTGATTTAACCAATAAACCACCTTTCCAACTGACAAGTGTCCTTCAGAGTAAAAGCAACAGACAGAATAAATGGAATAAGAACCATATCTACCAATCATATTATCAGATCTGACTGTCAAGTATACTTTTCCTATTTTTTAGTTCACGTTAATCCAATTCGGTAGAAAGAAATATGAAAACCAATGTAAATAAAAAGTTCTGTAAAGGACCAGTTTACTGGTGTTAGCACTCAACTTTTAAACTACATCAGCCTATGTAACTAGATGTGTGATTCCCGGCCAAAACATGAAAAATCTGTTAGAATGACTTATTTCTGACCAAGTCAACATCTCTGCGCCTATTTATACAGTAGTTTGTCAGTAAACTAATTGTGCGTGCAAATTATGTCACCGGATGTATCATTCCTATCTGGAGATAATCAATGAAAAATAAAACGAGTCATACAAAGTAGTAACTGACTACCTTTTAAGAACAAATACTTATTATTATTAAGAATAAATCAACGGTGCCTGTGTTCTATCTCCTGTGTGAAGTCTGTCTGCTTTCGACATAGAACTTTGCACAAATGTGCGACAGTTCAAGTCGCCACACTCCGTGTAGCACGCGAAGCAAGAGAAGAAAGTACAAGAAAAGCATAATAGAGACAGTAAACAGAGGTGTGAGACAAAGGAGTAATAACGAAGAACAAAACAGTTTCATTGGAGATCATAAGTCACAATGAGTGGATGCATCTGCACCACTGAGAACGATTTTGAGCCATGTCACCAATTGTTTCCAACCACTTGTTTTTACCGTCCCGAGAACCCCAGCCTGGAAGTCTACACCTTCCTACGTGGCTTAGAGCAACTGTTGTGGATTTCATTGACTGGTGCCCAGTTTTTGTTTGACCACCGCTAGCTTTTTTCCAGCCTGACTCTATATCCGCTAACATTGCTCGTCGAGGGAGGCGATGACTTGGCATACGTAACACATGTCCTAACCATCTCAGTCTTTGTAGCTTCACGATTTCGTCGATTGATTTCCCCTGTTTACCTAGAACTCGACGCCTAACCTCAGTGTTGCTCACCTTATTATGCCACTTTACACGGGAAATAGAACGCAGGCACCTATGATCAAAGACAGCTAGTCTTTTCATGTCTTCCACTCTGAGTGGCCAGGTCTCACAACCATAAAGGTGGACTGAGCGGACTGATGAGCAGTACACTCGCCCTAGGTGACTTCAGTGACTCAGGAATTGACTTGCTACCGGGGAATAATCTCGTTGACTTGGAATATGCAGACGATATAGTCCTTCTAGGCGAAGACGCTGACGAAATGCAGAGTCTTCTAAACAACTTGAGCCGCAATCTACGAATGTTTGGCATGCGATTCGCTCCCGCCAAATGCAAGATGATGTTACAGGACTGGACTACATCGACGCCTAGTTTAAAAATAGGAAGTGAAGTGGTAGAGCACGTTGACCGCCTCACTTATTTGGGAAGTACCATCAGCCCCAACGGGCTGATCTCTGACGAAATCTCAGCACGGATACAGGGGGCTCGTTTCGCATTTGTTAGTTTACGCCGACTCTGGCGTAGACGAGATGTTCGACTATCGACCAAAGGGCGGGTGTACTGCTCATCAGTCCGCTTCGTCCTCCTTTATGGTTGTGAGACCTGGCCACTGAGAGTGGAAGACATGAAAAGACTAGCTGTCTTTGATCATAGGTGCCTGCGTTCTATTTCCCGTGTAAAGTGGCATAATAAGGTGAGCAACATTGAGGTTAGGCGTCGAGTTCTAGGTAAACAGGGGAAATCAATCGACGAAATCGTGAAGCTACAAAGACTGAGATGGTTAGGACATGTGTTACGTATGCCAAGTCATCGCCTCCCTCGACGAGCAATGTTAGCGGATATAGAGTCAGGCTGGAAAAAAGCTAGCGGTGGTCAAACAAAAACTGGGCACCAGTCAATGAAATCCACAACAGTTGCTCTAAGCCACGTAGGAAGGTGTAGACTTCCAGGCTGGGGTTCTCGGGACGGTAAAAACAAGTGGTTGGAAACAATTGGTGACATGGCTCAAAATCGTTCTCAGTGGTGCAGATGCATCCACTCATTGTGACTTATGATCTCCAATGAAACTGTTTTGTTCTTCGTTATTACTCCTTTGTCTCACACCTCTGTTTACTGTCTCTATTATGCTTTTCTTGTACTTTCTTCTCTTGCTTCGCGTGCTACACGGAATGTGGCGACTTGAACTTCCGCACATTTGTGCAAAGTTCTATGTCGAAAACAGACAGACAGACACTCGCCCTTTGGTCGACAGTCGAACATCTTGTCTACGCCAGAGTCGGCGTAAACTGGTAAATGCGAAACGAGCCCCCTGTGTGAAGTGGAATGATACGGTGAGCGATATTGGGGTTAGGCCTCCTTCCAGTGCTAGGTAAGGAGGGGAAATCAATCGACGAGGTTGTGAAGTTACATCGATTGAGATGGTTACGACATGTGTTACGTATGCCAGCCAATACCTCCCTCCACTGACGGGAAATGTTAGCCGACATAGGATGAATTAGGTTGGAAAAGAGCTAGTGATGGTCAAACCAAAACATAGCATCAGTCAATGAAATCCACAACAGTTAGTTTAAGTCAGTCATGTGGGAAGATGTAGACTTCCTGACTCGCTGGGGTCCTCGGGATGGTAAAAACCAATGAAGGCTGGCGACAAATGGTCATATAGTTCAACATCCTCGTTTTCAATGGTGCAGATGTATTCACTCCTTGTGACTTATAATATCCAATCAAACTAGATTGTTCTTCCATATTACCATCTTTTGCCTCATATCTCTGTTTTGAATCTCTTTTTACTGTCTCCTCTTGTTTTGTGTGCTTGTGTGTGTGGTCTGGCAACTCCAATAGCTGCACATAGGTGCAAAGTTCCACGTTGAAACCAATCACTCAGTCAGATCTGTTCTCTACTTATGCGCTTTAGTTAACCTATAAGGCAGTACTGTACAACGAAATACTACTCCAAATTTTTAATAAAAGAGCATAAACTATTTAAAAAACAGGCAAATAACATGCTCATATATAAAACACATACCTGAAGGAAATGACCAGGCATCAACGCCTACGGTTAACCGCATATCTGAATGATTATCTCCTTTAGGTCTTTGACGTCGAAATGTCAACTTGATCAAGCCTACTGTAATCGCATCAAATAATAAGGCAATGAGTAAGGACAGTAGTCTTGGAACATTTGTGTCGATTTCATCGCTGGATAGTTTTAAAAATTGCTTATCCCATAAAATATTATATGATGAGTGTACCTTAACACCTTGTGTGTTGTTAATCCACAACAATATAAGCCACGACAAAACACAAGCTATCCAAGGAATCCCATGACATGTCCATTCCAGTGCTAAGCCTAATCGCCTAGTCCATTTCGACATGATCAAACAAAACGTCTATATCAACTATAAAAAGAACAAACGAAAAGAAGAAGAGAAAAGGTTTAGTAGGTCAGCAAAAACAAAATATTAAATAAAAGTTTGCAATTTATTCTACGAAATAAAAATAAAGTTTTTATATTTCGACAGTGATGAAAATTCCACCCGGAAAGACACGCATCACTTTGAACACGCTGCTCTGTTATTCACTGAAGTCGAATAACAGGAAACTGAGATAAATGGTGCCCAAATGAGGGAATATTAGAAAGACTGGGTATCTCTAAGAAATATTATAATTTGACTAAGTAAATATAAAAACGATACTAAGATGTAATCGAAAGTACTGCTTATAAACTTGATTACAGAAATGTCGGAGTTCGTTGCTTAAGTACAACAGTTATGCTTTTCTATCAACAGATAGGTTCAACTACATCCACAAATTAAGTGAGACTCAAAAATTGTATCAGCAAAAGGATATATAGATATTTAAAAAAAAATACAACTGGTACACTACAGTTTGTGTTAACACAAGGCAGGAAGGAAAATAAGATATACTAATTGTCCCTAATAAACCAACTGCGTTAACTTTCTGCAGATCTATACTCATTTATTAATGAATAACAGTAATCAGGATTAAAGTGCTTTCCTCACACAGTGAAAACGATAGAGAATATGAACATGATGACAAAAGTATGGAATTTGGTAGGTAAGGAATAATTTTTATTTGTAAAATAAAACAATGAAATGTCTATTTAACAAGTGCAGAGGAGGCAGGGAAAGAAAAAAACAAAGTTTCAGTGAGAATGATATCGGTGATGCGATTGATTAGAAATGTCGGTTAAATACACTGAATTTCTAATTACGCTCAGCATGAAATCAAAATGACCGAAATGTATTATGATACCACTGAGTGTACTAATACCTGTAACCACGGAAATCTCGGTAAAAGATGCTTCCTCAGCTACCTTGCCGGATCTTGAACAACAACGATTATATTAGATACCTTTATTCGATATAGCACAGTGATACAGCATTAAAAGCTTTTATTACCGTATCACTGTTATGTCATATGGAATTATATCCTACCACAGAGCTGAAGTTCTGCACTTACATTAAAACAACGGACAGCTTTTATATGACACCTTAGGGACAACTGATTCATTACACTGATTTCTGTCTATACAACAGATAACAACGATTACACCAAATGAGCTGAAAATATGTAACCTGTGTTTTAGGCTGTACGAAAGAAGTATGAACTATCCGAAATTGTCCAAACTTTTCTACTGAACTATTCACTTCATAGTGGTATAGGCTCCTGGATGAACACACTTTTAGTTCTAAAATTCGAACCAATGAATACGCTTGTTACATCATAATATACTTCAGAAACATGCACAGACTTAAATATTGGGGCTATCGTCTCATTAGTTATTTCTAAATACGCATGTAACTTACTTCAATGATAATGAAGCACGTTAAAATACTTATTTCTGGACCTGGGAAGCTAACTAAATATATGGTAGTGTGCATCGCTGTCTTAAAAGCCAGGCAAAGAAAAACTTCAGACCGGGGTTTTTGCTCACGAGGTCCCTACAGGATATCATAACTACTGATAAATAGACGACTGCCAAGAACTAGGCAAATGTAAACCGGACGGTCGATATAATACCGCATACTGGTGGTGCTGGAGTAATTAGAAAATACATTTAATCATCTGATCTTTTGGACAATTCTAAGTAAGCTAACAAACTGTCCAACATGGATTATTTGAGATACAGAGAGGACTCTTAAAGACACAGGCTTTGGCCAATTAATACTTAAGTAATGTTCAATCAAGAGTTCATTTCAAATTGTAATTATGAGAACCATCACAGTACAAGAGAACTTATCCATCGTTCCGTTGCTCTTCCTAAGCGACAACAAGATTCATTACAACCACAATACTCCGACCAGATCTCTGCAGACGATTGACGACATCTCCAGCGATGACGGTCACTATACTAAAGCAGCACACTAAGAGGAACTTGGCCTGAAAGTAGTTTAGCACTGAGAAATATGGAGTTAACAGTCCTGTGAAGAAGACTGAATGTTGGCGTAATTCCGTAAGCCGTAGGAATCGCTTATCACGACATAATAATATTTCTATAGTTTGGTTTGTAAGGATAATGATATTAAAAATAATAATAGCTTTATTCCAAAAACAGTACTAATGATACAGCAAGGAATTTTCAGCATTCAGTACAATATTGCATCTAATTTACTCAAAAACGACAAAAATATTATAAATACACATTACATAATAATAATAAAACGATTGTTGCAGCAGCTACATAGCAAAATACTGTATGCAATACGGTGAAAAATATGCATAAAGTATAAAATTGTTGTAATAACAGTAATACCAACTAAAATAAAATAGCAGAGTAATAATCAAACGCCGGAAAGTGTTATACCATAAAATACATAAAGATGAACTATGAAAGGGCCGATTTACTGTGCTAATTATATAGTAACTTATGTGTTTCACGTCTAACAGAGTCTTCATCACATTAGCATTTTATGACCAGTATCACATTATCCCAACAAATATATCTGTTCCGACTTAAATGATATCACCCCTAATGGTATCCCGTCACTCAGAGAAGGTAAACTTTCACCAAACTCGATTTAATCTTAGGCATTCGTAACAGTTGTTACATTAATGTATTATCAGCAAAATTTTACTGAGCCATGTACGTTTACCCGCTTAGCGACACAGCTTTTTTTCTCCAAATTATGGTCTAATCTGTTATTCGGTAAGAATTAAAACTAAAGCGAATACCAAATAAAGCAAATGCCAACGAATTTAAAAATATGTAGGAGAAATATACGATTTCACTCCAAAACGCGACACATTGTATTCTTTCACCTTAATTTTACCACAGTGAACAATAATAGCATCCCTTAAATATAGTTGAAATGACTTTAAACGATAATACAGTGTGAAAGTCTTCGCTTGACAATGGATAGCAGCATACTGCTTGAGGAGAGGCTGAGCTCTTGAAGGTCACTTACATGTATTGTGGTTGGTGAATCTTCGCGTGCATACAGATTGCGGCTAATATGAAGTTCGTGTTACTGAGGCGGGCTTTGAAATCATATAGACATTATACCCTTCAGCTTATTATTATTGCTTCCTTTAATTCCTAGAGGAAGATAGGACTTCGGCCAGAGGTCTCCATTGCGTTCGGTTCTCTGCCAACGTTATCACCTGTCTCCACGTCTGCCCAAATGCTTTCATCTCGTCACCACACGACCTCCATATCAACCTAGCACTGACGATCAGCTCTCCGCTTCCCATTCGGATTCCATTCAAGGGAGAGAGAGGCTGGCGTCTGATCAGGTTGTACTCACATCACACGCCAGCCTCTCTCTCCCTTGAATGGTATCCGAATGGGAAGCGGAGAGCTGGGCGAAGTTTAAGAATAGCGTCCCAAAACCTTCAACGCTCAAATGACCTTGAACGCATGCTATGCTAGTCGTTGGCTAACTGTTCCTGTCATTATCATAGCTAACTGTGCAATATTCATGTGAACTGAGTATAAAAGGTGTAATCTGTTTTAATTGTGAAAATATTTATTTTGTCCAATCAGATTTTAGCCATTATTTTAGATGGCATGTTTTATCAATCACATTCTGTTACAAATCATCAGTTTGCTTCTCCATTTATGTTACATTTTGATAAAATCCATTTTTACCATGATTATTATTCGTGCAATAAAAGTCCAGTTAATTCTTTATGAATCATTTACTGATAATTATTGTTTATTCTGAATCTCTTACGTATCACGTCAGCACCTGTACAGAAATGCTGCTTACCTTCCCCAACTAACGCAACCATTTATAATTCCCGCGTGAAATTGACATGTATTTTTTTCAGTCACAGTTTATACTTCACGCCGTATCTATTTCCTTATTTGAACACTTCATTTTAAATATTTCTCTCACATTTACTAGTATTCAACTTATTTCTAAATTAACAAATCATATTATATATTCTATAAGTTTTAATAAGTGTACATATGTTCATGCCTGTAAATATGGCTGGTTTCTGTTCCAGAAATAAATATTATTTTAATTATTATTGTAGGGAAAGATAGAGAGTGATGTATGAAGTGTGCCGGTGGTACATCGGTAGAGTGGTCACCGACCACGCAGGTGTTCCGGGTTTCGAACCTTGTACACCAACTCAATCCTAAACCTTGCTTATCCTGTAGTAAGACTGGTAAAAAGGGAAAGTTGGCCATGAGGTCCGCAACACCATCCTGTGAAAATATTCACCGATATTACAGAAACTTCAAGCCCCTAGCCTGAAACCCGATGTTCCACCGGGAAAGTAAGGTAATTAAAAATGTATCTAGTAAAAATGCTAAACGAAATTGCAAGGATGAGACTTGAAAGTAGTAATTATGTCTGTTTTCGACATAGAACTCTGGAGCGATGTGTAGCATTTCAAGTCGCCACAGTCCACGTAGCACACAAACCAAGACAAGAAAGTAGGAGAAATCCACAATAACGACAGTAGACAGGGGTATGAGTTAAAAGGAATAGTAATAACAAAGAACAATCTAGTTTGATTGGATATTATAAGTCACAAGGAATGAATATATCAGCACCACCGAAAACGAGGATTTTGAACCATATGACCATTTGTCGCCAGCCCTCATTGGTTTTTACCATCCAGAGGAACCCAACGAGTCAGGAATTCTATACCTACCTACGTGGATGACTTAAACTAACTGTTGTGGATTTCATTGACTGATGCCATGTTTTGATTTGACCACAACTGGCTCTTTTCCAACGTGATCCATCCTACGTCAGCTAACATTTCGCGTCAGTGGAGGAAGGTAATGGCTAAGTATATGTAACACATGACCTAACCGCCTCAATCGATGTAACTTCACAGCCTCGTCGATTGATTTCCCATTCTTACCTGGCACTCAAAGGCGGCTAACCTCGACATTGCTCACCGAATCATGCCATTTCACACGGGAGGTGAACACAGGCACCATGATCAAAGACAGCTAGCCGGGCTTTTGATGTCTTCTACTCCAACAGCCATGTATTAGTAGTAGTTAGCTCAAAAGTTGACAAAAATGTGGAGGTATTTTTCAGGGAGATTTAGTGTTTATTCTCAAACGAAGTAGATCGGCTAGTTGATTTCGGTACTGGGCTAAAATATGGTCACTCTTGTTTGAGAAGTGTTGGTATTACCCAGTTGTCTGTGGCTCAGATAGGTGGGGCGAGATTCAAACTCCGGGATCCATCGTCTGGATTTCTAGTGCTGAAGCCAATGATCCATATGTATGCTTTTGAAAGAGTAACAAGGAAATGATCTGTTAAAGGTCTTTGAAGAATTCCACTTGGTATGGGGATTGGTTTGTGTCTGGTTGATACACTGGACTCCAGAAGACTGCATGCTTTTGGTCCGGTCGAATTAATATAATAAGGTTGGACATGAGGTTACCAACCCCATCCTGTCAAAGTAAACACTGCTACAGAAACTTCAAGCCTCTAGCTTGAAGCCCTATTTTTCACTGGAACGTGAAAGAATGAAAAGAAATAACATTGGAAACCGTGTAAGCTGAATTAGTTCAATCGCGACTCTGAAATACGCAGTTGACAGAAGACAGAAATTCGTATTCTGCTGAGTTGTTTGTATTGTGAATTTATAATAAATATGAATGAAATTGACTAGAAAATAGCAGTGAATCTGACACCACTGCGGCTCCTCGTCTTCTTGAAAAGAGCAGAAGTTGAAGTATAATGACTGACTGGATTCAACATAGTGCTTGCACAGATGTGCAGCAGCTCGAGTGGCCACACTCCCTCCTTGTAGCACTCGAAGCAAGAGAAGAGAGATAATAAATAGAAATGTGAGGGAAAAGAGTAGTAATATAGAAGAACAGCCGATTTTTACTGGATATTACAAATCACAAGGAGTGGATGCATCTGTGCCATTTAGAACAATTTTGAACCATATCGCCAATTGTCTGCAGCTTTTAGATTTTGCCGTTCCGGTGCTCCTAACCAAGAAATCTCTACCTCCCAACGTGGCTTAAACTAACTGTTGTGGATTTCATTGACTGATGTAGCCATGTTTTGGTTTGACCATCACTAGCTCTTTTCCAACCTAATCCATCCTATGTCGGCTAACATTTCCCGTCAGTGGAGGAAGGCGACGGCTGGGATGCGTAACACATATCCTAACCATCTCAAACCTCGTCGATTGATTTCCCATCCATACCTATCACTCGAAGGAGGCCTAACCTCATATTCTTCTCAGGTTAGTGGGCTGAAATGTGTGGAGTGGTCCTCTTTTCCGGGGTCCATTTTCTGAATCTCAGTGCTTAAATCAATGGATCACACACACCTCCATGCAGTAATATAAAGTAATAAAACAACTAACAATTTTCTTTTATTTGTCTACTGGATTCTGAACACAAATTGATAAGTGTTCTCAATGTAAAATAATATAAACTTATCGGGTTCACTAATCATCTTGCCTACAAGACAACATTTATAAAAGATACCTAAAGTCATATGACTATTGTGTGATCATATAATATCATGTATGTATAGGGGTACATGTGTGTGTGTGTGCGTGCGTGCGTGCGTCTACGTTTCTGTGTCTTTTCTGTAAACTTATAAGGATAAGTAATTTGAATGAATACAATCTCTTTGTGTAGATTTTAAGAGATTAAACGTATCAATATGCATGTTCAGTACATATGAGCAGTTAGAGAAGTCATAAATGTGTATCTGAGTAGAGTTATGGATTTTTCATGCTTAAGCTAATGCCAAAACTGTTACCTCTAGAAAGACAATGAAAGCTTCATGATCCAATCATTGAGAGGAGAGAAAAATGACAAAACAATAACATAAAAAAATTATTCATTCACCTGAACTATAAGTCTTCTCCATAATTTCTTGTAATAGAAGGCGGTTGTCTTTATTTCGTGTTAAACTTGATTTCTTCTGTTGTCAAAACACTCATTCACTAGTTTTATTATTGTTATTTCTTTGGGTTCCAAGTAGAACATAGGGCTTCAACAGCACATCTCCGCTTTGTTCTGTTCGGTGCTGTCCTCTGCAAACGGGCTAGCGATCACCCATAATCTCTCATCTCCTCTTCTCACGATCTCCTCCATGTCACCCTCGTACCGATGACCCACTTCTTGCTTCCCATTGAGATTCAACTCCAGCTATGGCCTGCATTCCACGAGATGTCATTCGACAGTTTCCTCAGCGTATACCCAATCCATCTCCATATTTGTTGAGCGATCGGGTGTTGGTTGGTTTGTCGCCAGCCAGAGGTTCTTGTTGCTCATTCTTTCTGGCCGGATGGCGATTTCATCTTCAGTATGGAGCCGTCGAAGTGGACAGCTGTTGATAAATGTTTGCAAATGGCTGTTGAAAATACTTTTCATGACATGTTGGCCTGGTTTCTGACCCGTATAGAAAAATTGACTGACTGACTTCACTGACATTCGTGTTGAGAATCCGAATCTTGTTCTGTATGCTTACTGAATGCGTCAGATTCTCAAACTGGTTCCAGGTTGATGAAGGTGTGCGTATCTTGTCTTTCCGATTCTGACTGGCTGGCTCCCGTGAACAGTCTGACGCATAATCCAGTCCACCACAATCAAGAATATCGTCGGTGATAACACGTAGGCTGCCTTGTCTTACTCCTGTATTCACTTCGGACGCCTCACTGAGTTTTCCGTTGTGGATCACGTGACACGTTGTATTGTCATATAGCTGTGGTTGAATAAGGTTGATATAGACTTGGGAGCTGCACGCCGTAGTGTTGAAGTAGTTTCCAAGTTACTTCTTGGTCACTGCTGTCAAACGCTTTTACGAAGTCGATGAAGTTAAGGTATATTCTTGACTGCCATTCTACGCTTATTCGATGACACTTCGTAGAGTTGCAATTTGATCAGTACATGACCTACTTTTCCTAAATCCAGGTTTTTCAAGGCTGGCGGAGTTCTGCATCAAGTGGATCCTTTCTTCTCTTCAGGATGACGCGATTTAGTATTCTACTTGGCGTGGACAAGAGCATGATTCGGTGCCAGTTCTTGCACAGGCCTAGGTTACCCATCCTTCCAATTGGTAGGGACCTTCCTTTCCTTCTTAACCTTTTGCAGTAATGGCATGAGAAAATCTGCGGCAGTCTCCGGGTCCGTTTTCAGTGATTCGGGTATAGTTCTGTCTGGTCTTTCTGCCTTTCCGTCGAACGTTCATTAGCTTGACCGCATTCAGGATTACTGCTCTGTTGGAGGATTGGTTTCCATTGGTAGTCAGTTCAGTGCGTGCTGTTGATGGTGGTGAATTTCTGGTCAAGTTGCAGGTGATGTTCGTTTAGAGGCTGACGGAATCTCTTATACATCAACATCTAACTTAATAATTCTAGCATACCAAAAACAAAGCAA